TTCTTCTTCTTCTTCTTCTTCTTCTTCTTCTTCTTCTTCTTCTTCTTCTTCTTCTTCTTCTTCTTCTTCTTCTTCTTCTTCTTCTTCTTCTTTCCAATCAGACCAGCAAGTTAGCTCCAAAGTTCCCCGGGCATTCTATTGTCTAAACAGATTGGTTACAAACAAACATGTGACTTCCTGTTGATCATAACAAACATCATTAACCCTGTAAATACGGAAGTGTTTTGACTTGTAACACCCAACTGTGTGCACTCACCAGCCTGGAAGTCATGGTGACGTCCGGACACCCCTAGTGGGGCTACGGCATTTCAGAGAGGTGGCTTGATATTACCCGCCTCTGCGTCCCGGCCCTGGTATTTCTTGGAGGTTGCCCTTCCAAGTACTTGCCAGGGTCAGACCTGCTTAGCTTCCAAGATCTTATGAGACTGGGCTGGGTGCCCAGCTCCTGTTTATGCCTTGCCACTTGCCCTGTTTCTCTCATGGATGCTTTCCTCCTCGTCCCACACTCTCAGAGGACTCTCATATGGGGTAACATAGAGAAGAGGAAGAGACTGGATTTATACCCGCCCTTCACTACCCGAAGGAGCCTCAGAGGGGCAGACCATCTCCTTTCTCTCCCCTCCCCACAACAGACACCCTGTGAGGCAGGTGGGGCTGAGAGAGCTCTCGAGAGAGAGAGAGCTGCTCCTGAGAGAACAGCTCTGAGAGAACTGTGGCTTGCCCAAGGTCACCCAGCAGCTGTATGTGGAGGAGTGGGGAATCAAACCCGGTTCTCCCAGATTAGAGTGCACGCTTCTAACCACTACACCAAACTGGCTCTCTGTTAGATCAGTGCAGCCCATCAAGGGGAACCTTGAGAGCTCTTGGTTTCCTTTTGCCAGCCTAAGCAGAAGTAAAAATTGTGGGATGGGTGATAGTGAGCTCCACAGGCCACCTTACGTGCCTCTCATGCAGGCTGTGCACGGCCCCAAGACCCATGAGATCCCATCAGCCTGCTTCTGGCCCACAGTGCCCTCTAGTGGTGCACTGATCTTTTGCCTGAATTCTCTGATCTGTCCAAATGTTCTGGCTGGGGCACCAAAACACAACCTTTCCCTGACCCCTGTCCTCCCATTGTCCCCTCCCGTTCCTCCATGAACTCAGTGCAGTTTCATGCCACTGGCGCGTGGTTCAGTGATTCAGTCCCCCCCTCCCGCCATTAAAGTTTCATCATGACATCCTGCCTGTTTTTAAATAAAAGATGGCCCCCTGGCAAAATGCACTATTACCTTCTCATAACGTGTTAATAGCAACCAGAGAAGACTTACGGAATGGCTAATAACTCTGTCAAGCCTGGCATAAATTCCCAGGCTTTGATTTTAATACTTTTTTGCATTTGCTTCAAAAAATCAGACACTTCCCAGTATCGAAGGGAATATTGTTCGTAAAGGTCTCTGACCTTGCATGTCGCCTGTGCCCCACCGTCTCATCCCCCATGTGATTCGAATTCTAAACAGCCATATAAATCAGCTGTTCGGGTAGGGGGGAGAGGCTGAGTGTGGACTGAGGCGGTGGTGCTGATGAAAAGGGGTTTAAATCTGCCCCCCCCCCCATGCCGTTTCCTGCTAGAACTCCCCTTCCCCTTGGCTGTTTTAAATTCCGGAATGGAAGAAAGGCAAACTAAGTATAATATTGCTCCTGCCCGAAATGAGGGACAGGTGGATTTCTGAGATTTTCTTCCTCGATCGTTCCTTTTATCGCTGCTTCCTGAATTCTAGTTTAAGTAGGAGAATTTCTAAAATTAATTCCAGGAAAATGTCACGCGCCATTTCCCGTCATTCTTAACCCTTTCTGTTCATACGTGGCCAATTTCAGACAGCCTTTGTAATCTGTTTTAGTAGCTGGCTGCTAACGGTTTTTTTGTGTCATTTCAGACACAACCGTTTTAGCAACCGGCCGCTACGCATTTTATTTACCTTTTCATACAAAGCCACTTGCACCCGGTTGGCAAAGTGTGGTCAAACCGTTCTTGAGGTGAACGGCTTTCTTCTGTTTCCACCTCTTATTTGGGCTTCTGAATCGCTGTGGTGTGCTGTTTAAAATGTCTGCAGTGCTTTCAACAGGGCCATGCTTTTTCCCTTGCCCTTTTTCACTGTGCAATCTTTATCAGACTTTTTTTGAATGTTCTAAGTTAAGCGCTATAGCGCTAGACCCATATAGCACTTCAGCGCTACAGTGGCACCATTGAGATGCATTGAGAAGTGCTATATGTATCTAGCACTATAGCGCTCAACTTAGGACGTTCAAAAAGAAAAGTCAGAAGAACAGGGCCATAGCCGGTCGTGAGGGTGTCGGGTCTGTGCCCCCTATTGATCAAGGGGAGCACCAGCCAGCAAGTCCCCGGTGAGCTCCAGAGCCAGCCAGCCAAACGCAGTGAGGCACCAGGGCGGGCCTTTCTCTAATGGCTCGCCCCGGTGCCTCACTGCATCTGCTTGGAGAGCCGAGAAGGCAGTCTTCTCAATGAGGACCCACAGTGACTTGCAACGTGTCTCATTCTCCATTTTATCCTCACAACGACCCTGTGAGGTAGGTGAGGCTGAGATGGTGTGACCGGTCCCAGCAAGCTTCCGTGGCAAAGTGTGGGATTTGAACCTGGAACCCCCAGACACTAGTCCTGCACCGTAACCGTCACACCACACTGGCTCCCCGCCACTTGCTTTCTTCCCACCTTATTGTGGAGCTTCAGCTTCTGAACACTCAAATGCAGCATGTTTAAAGTTTGTTCCTGAGCAAGGATTTGAACCTGGGTCCCTGTCCAGCACTTCATCATAAAACCTGCCCCCACCTCCCGACTGCTGGTATCCCAAGGAGGTCTCCCATTCCAAGTACTTGCCAGAGTCGACCCTGCTTAGCTTGGAGTTCAGGCGTGCGGCCAGCAGCCCACCTGCAGCTGCCCCTACTGCAAGATTTAAAGGGCCTTCCAGCTGACTGGCGGGAGCATGTGACCCGCTAATCAGCTGGAGGGCCCCTTAAATCTTGCGGGAGGGAGGGAAAGGGGAGGCTGCGCATGCCTGCGCTCCAAGCGGCAAATTTGCAGCTTGGAGTGCAGGTACGCAGCCCCCTTCGCTTCCTGCCAAAAGCATTTAAAAGGGCCCTTTAAATGCTTTTGGCAAGAAGCGGGGGATGCCAGTCCCCAACGTGATGCTATCACTTCTGCATGACATCATCATGTCGGTGGCGTCCCCACCCTCTTCCGTAATGCCCCCCCCAAAGTCCGCCACCAGGAAGGGCCT